GGAAAGATAAGCTGCATGTGTATGAGGGGAGGCGGTAGGTGGCTCAGCAAGGGAAGGTGTCCAGAGCATTGTTCTTCACATTGGTGGCACAGTCCAGGACTGCATCATGCATCAGGTCTGGATGAGCCCCTGGACCTCCACCTGGGTGGATAACAGGGCTGTAATCTCAGATGCCTCCCTTGGGGTGAAAGACAAATCAAACCCCAAAAGTGCACGACCCTGAAATTCAACTCTGAAAGGAACAAAGTTAACCTCAGAGGTAAATGTAATTTTTGGCATCACCTGACTTGGAGCATATGATCTTGTAATTTTATTATAATCTTAATACTGGGCTTTTTCTAAGACACACTGGAATGACAGAGAGGCTTTGTCCCTCCTGTGAAAAGGTATCTCAGTGTCCCATCCAAAGCAACGCAGCATTTTAAGAGGAATGTGTTGCCCACGCAGGAATATGATGGGAGAAGGGCAGTTGCTTGTAGCTCTTGAGGGAAAGGGAAAAAGAAAGAAGGCAAAGTCAAGAAGTGAGTATTAACTGCACACACAACTGCAGACAACTCAGCAACTACAGTGACTTGACTTTGTATGGCTGTTTTATTTTGCAACTCAAAACCAGAAAGCCTCATTACTTGCAACAGTGGGTACAATGATGTCCACTATTTTAAATTCCTGAAGGCTCCTGCAAATTAGCTGCCAAAGGTGAAATGCTTGTGTCTGAAAAGGCTGGACTTTGCTCAGTACAGTTACCAGGGTCAGCTTTTTCTCACCTGCCTTTTTAACAGCAGACCCCTGGAACATCCTTTCTGACAAGCACAGCTTCAGCCACGTCATGCTCTGCTTCTGTATCCTCCACTGTCATTTTAATACAAAGGATAAAAAAAGGAAAACATCCAAAAAACCTCTCTCATTTCTTGGCATATCTGAAAGGAGGCCATGTTGCACTTTTTCCATGGCTGTGTCTCACAAGTCACTTTATGGACAATAGCAGATTAATTATAACCACAGGCTTAGCAAATCCCCCAGACAAGACATTCTTATTGAGGTTGAGACGGCGTGCACTGAAATGATAGGGAGGAAATCTGCTCCTTTCCCACATATGAGTCTCCTGGTGGGCTTGTTACAACTGAAAACTAGCAGGGCTGCTCTCCAAGCAAGGCAGGGTCTGCTGAGAGCCTGAGTGTGACTTTGCAATGTCATTTGTGGCAAAGGCTTGGGTGACTGAGATAAGGAGAGGGGGAGGCTTTGCTTGATTTGGGGTTCATTCAACTGACCAATGTTTTGGATGCTTTGTTAAAGAGAGACCATGAGAATCAGAGCAGAGAATGAAATGAGACTCTGGGAAAAATCAAAAGAGGTCAATCAATTGATGACATCTATTGACAGCATTATTTTGATGTCCCTTTTTATTGAGAGGTGGAATGAAAGACTGCAACTCTTTTCTGGGCTTGCTCCCTCCCATGTTCAAAAAACATTTCTGCCAGTTAAAAGTGTACTGACTTGAAGGACAAATACCTTCAGAAAGTAGAAAAAAAATATCTGCATCAAATGGTGGGATCTTCTTCAAAGCAAGTCCCAGGGGCAGTGCCCACCTTACACTTAGAACCAGGAGGGAAACAACGCTCACACGTTGTGTTCACTGCTATTATCATTCATTCTTTGCTGCCTGCATTTCCCTGACCTGCTGAGAGCATCATCACCAACACTGGTTCTTCAGCCCATGCCTGGGCTGGGAGGGAAGGCTACCTGCAGACCTTGTTCCACAGCACACTTCCTTTCCTTCTGTCACATCCTTGTCTCCTGGGCAAAATAGTGCCAAATTTGTTAACATAAAGGAACACAAAAAGGGAATGGTATCACTCAGCACCAGGCAGAATCTTCCTGACCATGCACACATTTCCCAAACTAGTCTGCCCCATGCACCGAACTTAGGCAGAAACTGTTTTGGGGGAAAAAAAAGAAGTGATTATTCAGTTACAGATCATACCAAAAAGTAGATCTGCAGAAGGAAACTGTATTTTTGGCATTTCCTGTGTGACTCTGAAATTTATTTAAACTTTTAATGCAGGTGATGGTATTCAGTATTTATGATATCTACTTATATAAAAAAATAAACACCCTCTGCAAAAATGCAACATGAATGTTGCAGCACTAAAATCCAGAAATAATAGATTGAAAACATCTTTAATCCTAGCCTTTTGAAAAATAACCTATCCCTTTCTTGGCTCGCCTGTTAAGGCAACTTTAACTAGGAATTGCCTGCTTCAAAATGTTGCTGAAGAAGTATTCAAATTCCAGCACTTAAAACTGACAAAAAGAAAAAAAAAAACCCTCGTATTTTTAGTTGCCAATTCACTACGGAAAAACATTTGACAAAAATTGTATCATTAGTCTATTGTCACAATGCACTTTCAAGTGTTTGCATAAGGCTAGGGCTGCACTGATCTTTTTGGAATGGAATATTCTTACACGCTGCATTTCAAAGCAGTCTCTGTTTTTTAATGAAAACACTGATATACATATAAAATGTATGGTTTTACTGAATGTTATGGTTGACATGAAATTAGTTGGTTTTGGACTGCTGCTTTGTGAAATGTTTCTTCTGTGCTTTTGTTTCTTCTTCTATTTTTTTAATGTTCCATATGAGAAAAGGAAAACTTTTCTATTTGGAGTCTTCTTGAAAAGAGAAAGTTCCATTCTCTCCTGTCTCTAGTCAGCCCCTTGGCCAGGAATTCAAAACTGTTTCCATTTATTGGTTGGTTTGCTCAGAGCTTGGCAGGTCCCAGCCCCAGGCCAGGAACACCAAAGGGAAGATCTTCTTTTCAGCCAGGGCAAGGCTGAGGTGCTCTACCAGGAGAGCGCATGTGAGAAACTGCTGTTTCTTTTTTAGGGTTTAAAAAAAAGAAGGGATCAGTGTGTTCTGTAAAGACTTTCATCGGTACTACATTCAAATGAAGTTTATTAGTTCACTGTATAATCTGTGTGAAGTGTCCACAAAGCAGCTTAATTCCTCTCTTCCCTCCCCCGAGCAAACTGACAAACAAACCGGCAGCGTTCGCCTTTGGTTTTGAAACAATGATTTCCACCAAGCTTAAAAAGGAACCTAATCATGCATAGCGTCCTCCTTTCTTAGCTGCTAGAAAAGCTTGCTTCAACACATACAGCCCATTTGATGTGTCCTTTCCAAAAGGGAAATGCTCCTTTAAAAAGAGCATGAAGAAAGAGCTCCAGCAAACAGCAGCGGCTTCGGTTTGTTGCTTGGTTGTTTTTTTTTCCTTACCTTTCCACATGGTCAACGTTGCCTGCCACACCGACCCCTCCGATGGTGTAAATCTTCCCGTCATACACCAGGCTGTTATGTCGACACCTGGGGACTGTCATGCGGGACACCAGGTTCCAGTTATCCAGCAGGGACATGTAACACCAGACATCAGCCAGGGTGACACCCGACTCCATCCCGCCTGGCCCCGGAGTGTGGGTGAGGGGAGGAGAAGAGGGGAGAACGAGGTGAGATCCTGGAGCAGCAGAAGCTTTGCACACAGCAATCAAAGCCAGTTACAGAGTAAAAACTCTTCAAATGACATTTGACTAATTAAAATAAATCACCCTCAATACTGAGCATCTGTTCCGATGATGCAGATCTGTGTCATTTATTCATGTGCCCCAAAGGCTGTTTTTTTTAAATAAGATGACATGAAGAAATCAGATGTCAGATTACGAGGGACACGTTCATAAGGGGACAGACCCTTTTCATAAATAACCTCCAGTCTATTAAATCACTGCAGCACTTGCAAGAAGGTGTCAGCAGGCAGAGGCTACCTTGGCTTGCAAGACACAGGCCAGTCTGAAATCTAAAATGCTTAATAAAGTGATGGATTGAAGCAACACATGCGGAATAAAGTCAGTGCTTGCACTGCAGGCTTAATGCCTCATTTTCAGGGACAAATTTCTTATTTATTTTCATTAGCCGATAAAGGAAAGAACCAGCTGTGCCACTCCCATGAAACAGTTCAGGTTGCTCTAGTGAAATATTTATATTGGTCATTTTTAAACTCCTGACCAAAGCTCCCAGGGCAGCCACATAGTGGGTGTCTTACTATCCCTGTTTTGAAGCATAAAAAAGTGACATGATTTATTTGAGACCACACCAGGAGTCAGTGGACGAGTCAGGAAAAGAAACTAGACTCAGTTCTGTGGTTTAATGAGAAAACCAGGCTTCCTCCTTGGTATTTTGCTCTCCAAAACCAGTGTGGAGTCCAGCACTTGGAGCTTGCAGGGGTTCATTCCCACTTCTGTTAGTTCCCCTTCCCTCTTTCATGTGTCTTTTAACTTTGAGCAAAGCAAAATATTCACTGACACTCAGCTAGGTTTCCTGCCATGTGGGACTTTACACTCTCCTATGGTAGCCACCAAATACCATCAAGTCTTTCATCCAGACTCAAGAGAAAGAGCTGAAATGAGCTTTTAATTTAGGATTCAACAGCTTTTGTTAGCAGGTATGGCACAACCTAAAATGGGTCTACATCTTGGAAAGCAGCTCAGCTAAGAATAGCTAAAAGTCAACATCTCACAAAACCCTCCATAGAAGGCTTTCACTCCAGCAGCAAAACAAGCATGGGCAAAAAAAGCATAAAGAAATAAACAATTTCCAATCAATCCTCAGGGCCTTGATGCAGTATTAATGGAATTTACACCACAGGCAGCCATTTACTGTGGAAAATGCAATGAGGGAACTCTGCAAGGGAAAAGACAACAGCTGTAACCCCTTACTGGTACTGCCTGCTACATCTGTGCTGCCAACTACATCCTTGGTTGGCACACATCCACACCTCCCTGCCCGGGCTCCTCTTTCTATCATCAAACCTCCACTCTGTTGCCATCAGAGCATCCTTATATCACCTGGTGGGAATTGCTTTTCCCACCAAGCAGAGGTACCACCAGACTGCAAAATACCAGAGGCTGTGATGCTATGGGCACAGTGCAGGCAGCGACTTCAGGAGTCACAGTCTGGAACATGGTCTCAGACAAGTCTTAACAACAAGTACAAAACATGAATGCTCCTGTAAGCAAATACTTTAAGTGTAGGTCACATATTCAGCAGTTCAGCCTGTCTCTGATTCCATAACCTACCATTTAGACTCAAGTACAGCCAGTATTTTAAATTGTGTTTCTAAGGCAGTGAAAGCTCTTTGCATGCTTGATGGTTGTCAGACCTATTTTCTTCATGTTGCAACTGCAAAATACTGCTGTTGCCTGCTTTGAGAGAATGTTAACACCACAGAGAAACGGAGAATGATAAAAGCAAGGAAATCCCTCTTCCAGCCTCCCTCCCACTCGTCTTTTTTTTTCCCCAGGAGCAGCTGGTAAAACGCCCGCACGTCTTCCTTTGTCTGTGTTGCCTGTGTTGTAAGGAGGAAACTTTTCTTCTAGTCCAGTGAAGCTGGGGGATGACTGGATTAAGAACAGCCATGAGGAGAAGGACAAGAGGATCTGACATGAACTGGCAATGTGCACTTAAAGCCTAGAAAGTCAGTCTTATTTTGGGATGCCTGGAAATAAGTGTGGCCAGCAGGATGAGGGAGGTGATTCTCTGCCTCTACTCTGCTCTCGTAAGACCCCACCTGCAATACCGTGTCCAGTTCTGGGGTTCCAAGCACAAGAAAGACATGGAGTTGTTGGAGTGGGTTCAGAGGAGGGGCACAAAAATGGTCATAGGGCTGGAGCAGCTCTCCTATGAAGACAGGCTAGGAGAGTTGGGGTTGTTCAGCCTGGAGAAGAGAAGGCTCCAGGGAGATCTTATTGTGGCCTTTCAGTACTTAAAGGAATCTTGTAAGATGGAGAGAGGATTTTTAACAGGATCTGCAGTGAAACAACCAGAGGTGTAAGAGGGTTGATTTAGATTGGACATATGAAAGCAATTTTTATGAAGGTGGTGAGACACTGGAACACGTTGCCCATGTCCATGTTTGAGCAACCTGACCTAGTGAAAGATGCCCCTTCCCAGGGCACAGAGGTTGGACTAGGTGATCTTTAAAGGTCCCTTCCAACCAAAACCATTCTGTGTTTCTATGAAATCTGCTGCTTACCTGAGAGATAGATGTTGTCCCCAGCGCTGACCACACTGAAAAACTCTCGATCATAGAAGGGCAGACTGGCCAGTGGGTACCACTTGTTGTTTTGAGGGTTTAAGCAAGTGACTGCTGTTAAAGCACGTTGATTCATGCCAATCATCTGACGACCCCCAACTAAGACTATTACCTCAGCTACACCTAGGGTTCAAGGAAGAAAAACAGTATTAAAAAGTGACATCTCTCAACCAGGCAGGACCCTATTAGACAATTCTTGGCAGACAGGGCAATTCAGACAGGCTTCATCCTGGCTCAAACCAGGACAATAGGGCTGTTCAGCCTGGAGAAGAGAAGGCTCCGAGGAAACCTTATAGCCCCTTCCAGTACTTGAAAGGGGCCTACAGGAAAGCTGGGGAGGGGCTTTTCATCAGAGAAGATAGTGAAAGGACAAGGGATAATGGTTTTAAACTGAGAGAGGGGAGATTTAGGTTAGATATTTAGGAAGAAATTCTTCACTATAAGGGGGGTGAGGAACTGGAATGGGTTGCCCAGGAAGGTTGTTGATGCCCCATCCCTGGAGGTTTTTAAGACCAGGTTGGACGAGGTTTTGTGCAACCTGGTCTAGTGGTGGGGTTCCCTGCTCATGGCAGGGGGGGTAGAACTTGATGTTTAAGGGCCCTTCCAACCTTAATGATTCTATGATTCTAGAAATGTGTTTTAGACTGTGCAGTCAAGCCAGGAAGTGTGAGAAAAAAGGGAGTGTGTGTGTGTGGGGAGTGGTGGGTGAGGAATGACACTATGAACATGCTTGGGAGAATTAGGGAGGGAGCATGCCATCTGGGCAAAACTTGAAGGGCAAAGAGCTAAAAAGGCAGTTCCATGTAAAGACATCCGTTGACTTCAACAGTCTTTGAGTGAGACTTGCATGTGATAGCTTTGGAGTTTAGCCATTATCCAGGGAAAGAATGTTTGGACTTTAACCTGTAGAAGGTGTTTTCACACTAAAAGCTAATGTCTGGAGGAGATTTAGGCTATAGTTGTGGTTCTCTCTGCATGTACTTGATGAACACATAATTTTCTGGTGGTGGGGTTTTCTTTTGGTTTTCCAGATATAGGTAACGTGCTCAAGCCATGGATCAGGGAATGTCCTTGCCAGGGTCTTTGTGTACTAGGTGCTAGGAAATGGGACAGAGATAGCTCTTGCCCTAATATAGTTATTAATAACTAAGAATTATCTGTGCTTGATTAGCTCCCCCAAGACCATAACACGCAGGGTGTACAGCAAACCAAATTCTCTGGTAGTGCAAATGGACAAAACTTTTGCAACCCAAACCTCAGAGTTTTCATTCTTGCTTTACAGCTAGAGCCGAGTCAAATCTGATCTAAGCGTTACTCCAGACTCACCCCTGCAGTGATGGGTCACAGTTTAACCCTCAGTCATTTACTGGCTTCAATCCCAAGAGGCAAGTGCTGGAGACAGATAGTTGGGATTTAGCAGAAGCGTAACAAATCTTTCTGCAGCAATTGCAAAGCCCAAGTGCAGCCTCTTGCCAGGATAGGTAAGCTCAGAAGCAGGACCATGTGGCCACGATCTGGAAGGAATCACCATTTGGGAGCTGCGCTCATGGCTGGACCTGTTGCTGTCACATGTCACAGTGCCCAGCCCAGAGACAAGTGCACAGGGAGGGGGGCAGAACTGCAGAAGTGAGATTGGTAGCAAGAAAGATCAGAGTTGCAGTGGAGAAAAATGGATCTTCAAAATAATGGGTTATCGTCACTCTTCATTAGCCTTTTCAAAAACCATGTTTGTGTCATTCAAGCAAGGTTACTCTCTTAAAAGTTATTAAGTTAGAGTGCTGTACAATTTAAAATAAATATTTTTCAGGAGCAGGAGATCATTATTTTTGCTCCATACCAGTAAATCTAATCGCTTGTGCAAGACATAACTTGACTATAATCAATGACCCCGAGAGGGCTTGTGACATGCTGCAGCGAGTCCAGAAAGGGTGTTTAGAGATCCTTTGTGCCTCTATGAATGCTGTTGATATGCAAAATAACATGGTTCTATATAATTAGACTCTGACCTAAAAAACTATAATCACCCTCTCTTACCTCGAGAGAATCACTTTTACCTCATCAACAAGCTTCTGGAAATGGTTGATATTACACCTACAATTTTATATACATAAAATAAGCACTTTTCAAAAATCCCTTCAAACATCACACCATTAGTCATCTTCAGTGAAAGACTTTTTAGAGTAGATTGTTATTGAAAGTCTTCTACTTCATCCTTCTGAAAGGTGCCTTGATGAGGCAGTCTCCAGAAGCTGTAAATGCTGTGGTTAGGTATGTCATCTCTGTGCCACATTAGCATTCGTGGCAGCAACTGGAAGTTTTGCCTGGCTTTGCGACTGTACTTGTGGGAGGCAGAAGTACAGAGAGCATTTTAAAACAATTCACATGTTTCATCTGACTCCTTCTTGGATGCAGAGTTCCTACATGGCATTTGTATCACTCTTGGTTCAAGAGATATTTAGGATATTTCTCACACTGCTAGATACAGGTTGTGCTGGCGAGTGGGGCACTTGGGTTTTTTTCATGTATTTTTCCAAAAAGGAAAATGCATTAATTCCTCAGGTGAGAAACTTCTCAAAGTGATATGATTCTCCCTAGCTGATGGGTTTTTAAAAGGGAATATATCATTTGTTTTGAAGGCAGTGAACAGCCTGAACTGGTACTGTAGGGCTCATGGTATGAAAATATATTTACAGAGGGTTGTGAAAGTGAAGCTGTTTTATAAATATTGATCAGCTGCTCCCAGCATGAGGCTGAAGAACAAAGAAGCAAATATTTCACCTACTTTTGCAACTAGAGAAACGGAGGAATGGAGGGCAAAGGGCTCATTTTCAGGACAAATGGGGATATGTCACAGTCTCTGTCAGTACTAGCAATTCCTAAAAATTAGGCTTTAAAATCTATTTTCAGGACCTTACATCTCCACTCCCATGTCTGACCATCGGGAGAGGCTCCTGAATGCTTGAGCAAAGCAGAAATGGAAATCTGAGCTTGATATATCAACAGGCTCCAAGAAGGAGCCAAGGGAAGGAGCCAAGATCCATGTCCCATCCCAGGGTATGTCCTGACCATGCCTGGGAACCACAGGAGCTGGTGTCATTGAGGAAGTCTTTCTTTACCTGCAGAAAGCCTGGGCCGGGTCCTTGGCGTCTGCATCTCCTGTCGGGCATGTGGCAGCATGTGATAACGTTTGGCTTCGTTCACCAGATCCCGGCAAGCCTCCGAAGACTTGATCAGCTCCTCATTGTCAACAACATTCAGCAGGTAGCTGGGATGGATGAAGGGGAGGCGCACGACGGCCAGCAGCTCTGCAGCGTACTGTGGGGGAAGCAAAACGTGGCCTAACACACTGCAGCCCTTGTGCGGGAGTTCGGCCCCTCGGCACCTCCCCCTCCTTCCCGAAGAAACATCCCCTGTCACCCGACCTGGAAACACGCTTGTCATGGATGCTGCACAGGTGGGACAGAGACAATACAGCCCTCAGTCTTCCCTCGTCAGGGCTCATTTTAGTCCCAGAGGACTGAAAATAAGCATCAAGAAGAGGCAACTCTTCTTATATAGAAATGTTTTGATGGACTTTTGAAGTAAAAGCTCATTCTGTATGCAGGCTGAATGAATATAGCGTGTTCCTGTGTGATGTGCTCTAGGTGATCCTGCTCTGGCAGGGGGGTTGGACTGGATGGTCTTTCGAGGTCCCTTCCAACTCCTAAGAGTCTGTGATTCTGTGATAACACCTTGTGTACTGCAGACACAGAGTAAGCTTTCAAGTTTTCTGAATTAACCTTGAAATGTGAGCATTGTTGCTGCACTGTAAAAAAAAAAATCCCAAGCAAATATTTTCTGTCAGTATAAATATGAAAAAAGCTGTTAAATAGGGTGGATTTCAACAACTGCTGTGGCAAAGACTAAATAGCATCAGCCAATTTGCTAAAAATCTTTTAATTATTAACGCTTATTTGTTAGAGAAATAAATCATGCACTTCTAAATTTTGGGGAAATCAGACTCCAGAGGGTGCTATACAAATACTGACAGTAAGTTTCATCTTCTAAGTAAATACATTAAACCTCAGAGGGCAAAGGACACCTGAGCAAATGAAGCTGTCTGTCACTGAACACTGCTTAAAGGAGAACAAAACCCCAAGAGAGACAACTGCAATCAAAAAACCAAGAGTCCATCCCCAGATTATTCTTTTTATATGCAATTGGTTATATCACAACACAGCACAAGAGTACAGGGAAAATCAGAGCAATAGGAAAACGTGCTTCTTGAGAAGAAATGCACACTAACAGGATGCAAACTAAGAGTGCACAGCAAGAAAAGATAATCATCCGTTGTAATAAATATTCACGTAGCGGCAGCATCCAAAGATCCCAACTGGGACTGAGGCCAGGATACAAATAAATATTCCTGAGGTCCATGCCACTCATCCTTGGTGCCAGCAGCATCTACTGGCCCACAGATGCCTGTGGTCTTCCAGAAGCTGCTTGGCTCTCACTGTCCTTTTCAGCAGTGTGCCTGTTCCTGCACCAGGAGCTGGGATGACAATGGGACAGGGATGTGACCTGAGCCAGCTAATGGACTGGCCAGGCACGTGAGAACACAGTGACCTCCAGGATTGCTTCCAGGGTTTCCCCTTTCCACACCCAAACTGAAGAAGCAGTCTTCATTTAGGAGGGAAATAATGGATTTCTCCTCCAACAGCAATTCACGCTGCTCTGCTGCCAGAGAGCTGTGTCAGCCTGGTGCAAGCTCAGCCAAGCGAGGATGCGACTGCCCGTGGGGAGCTGAACCCACAGCAGCAGGGAGACCACCTTGCTCTCTGGCTGACTCCCAGCCCCTGCTCACCAACCCTCCTCAACACTGGGGCCAGCAATTGTAGGCACAGCCCCAAGAGTTTAGGCCTGGACCCCCTGTAGTTGTCTGTAGATAAAAAAGAGAAATAATGCAAAAGGAAAAGAAAAACGACAGCCCTCATCTTCTGGCAAAAATCCCACATGAACAGTGAGTCCGTGGCTCCTTGCTACTACTTCTGGCATGGCTTGAGGCTGAGTAAGGCTTGAGATCAGTTCATCAGACAAACCAGAAAAGAGGACACTCCACTTTTTTTCCTTTCTGAAATCCATTTCTAAGACTTTCTAGGAGGTAAAACGGCTGCTCCCCTTCCCCAGAGTCACAAATGCCAGGCACTCGGCTGCAGATATCTTAATGTCATTAAACAGTACCTTGTATGAGAGGGAGCAGTGGACATATGGCAGTGGGAGGCAAAGCTCTGATTTCAGGAAGTGCTTTTTTTAAGAAGGTTGGAGGCGTTTAACCTTACATGGGAGCCAAGATGAAATGTGGCATCGGGACATGGGAATAATGAGGAGAGTGGGTATACCAGGGACAAGACAGACAGCCCCCACGAGGGAGGTTAATCCCCACTACAGGCTGCTCAAAAGCACTATGAGTCTCTAAAGGGCAGTTAAAATAAAATCTTAAAATATATGGAGTGTAGAGTGGAGCCAGCACCTCCCCTTGGTGCAGGGGGACACACCAGAGCTGTCCCTGACACTCCTGAGGCAGGTCTGCCCTGGAAGCAGCCGTAACACAAAACAATGCAAAACACAGAGGCAACAGTTGTGCCATTAAACTAGGACACAGGGCTCAACAGGCACCACAACATCCTGAATCCGAGTGTGAATTAGCATTGGGAAAAGAGCTCCCCTCAGGCAGGGATGGACAACTCCCATGGGACAGGTGGAACAAGTGCCTCCATCTCCTATTTCTCCCAGAATAAGCAGGGCAGTGGTGTCACCTGAACATGGTGAGCTCTCCCTCTCACTCGCTCACCTTGCTTTCATTAGATCAGGGAGAAAATCAGATTCTGCTTCTCTCCTGGATTTTTCTTCCCCTTTTCTCTCCCTCTTTTGTCTGAGCTCATGGCTTATTTTGAAGGGGAATAATCATTAGGACGTGTTGCTCCCCTTTCATCAGCTTAAAAATTAATGTCACATATCAAAACCGATGTCACTTTTCACTCTTATTCTTCCCTTTGCTCCAACAGCCACAGAAGGGCTGGGGGGGTGTGTGCACACGACTGCACGCTTGTCGCTGATGGCATTAAGGGTACATGTAATTGCAGTGTTTTTCACCAAGGGATTTGAAGGCTATGTACCATCGTGATGTCTCTAGAAGACAGGAGAGGCTTTTATAAACCAACAGCTTTTTGCACCAGCTCTTTTAAGCACTATAGTCAAGGGTGAATTTCATTTAGCCTCACTGATTTAAGAATATTCAGGTGATTTAGGCAATCAGCAGCCTTCTTCTTTTGGATTCTCCCTTACGAAGGCTTTCTAGCTCTGTTAGCTATGATTGTACTAAATATCCTGTTACTATTATCCTTTTCATTTAACAGTGGAATAAGCAGTGTAAAGCATTTCAACCTTTTTAGCATCTGTTGCTTGCTCTCCATTCTCTCTTGTCTTTCCATTGTTCCTTACACAGCTATGAAATATCTGCTGCACCTACTGATGTCACTGGTTTTTATTAAAACAGCAGAACAAGTTGCATAGGGCATGTTGCCAAATTCAGCAGACAACAACTTCTGGTCCCTGGAGTTGTGGTTTATGCCTGTAACTCCAGGGCTATTTTTTTTCTCACTACTTGGCTGCAGGCACTGGCTGGACAAGTAGAAATAATTCTCAGGCCTTTTCTGGGAATCACTTACGACTACTCTACAACCTGCATCACACGCCAATATGAAGCAGAGAATATTAATGCTCTTTCTGGCCTAAAACTGGGAGTTATCAACTCATAGGCATGGGAGACCATGCCTCAGCTCCTTGAAAATGGACACCATTATGCAAAAATCTAGCTAATTTATTGCTTAAAATGCTAGGGAAGATTTTGAACATCATCAGAAGTGTTTTTTCAGGTGACACGAAGCTCAGCATAGCTCCCACTGGATGAAGGGTGGCTACCCCTGCAGTGCCGTGCATGGCTGGGGTGCTCCTGCAGGAGCCAGGACAACACTACTACACAAGCAAAGGCTTTTTGGACAGTCACTGGGGAACACAGTGGAGTAGCAACTGTTGAGGGATGCTGTCTAGCCTGCTTCAAGGGACCTATTTCACCCATACCAATTTCAGAAAGCAGGGTCTTCAAACAGCCTACAGTCACAATGTTGTTTCATAAAAACAGGGAAAGAAAAATCCTAGGAGATCTTATCCTTCCCTAATTACCTAAACTTTTGGGGGAGAGATTCAACTCTAGATTCAGACACCTAAATAGGTACATCGAAGCAAGTATTTACTTGTCAGCTAAACACGTGTAAGCTTACGTAATAATTAATAGAGATTTAGTCAACAAACTTAACACAGTCGCCAGAGCAATGTGAGCTGCGTGGCTGCAGAGGAAGCAGAGAATATCAGTGTCCCCTTCTGGATTAAAACTGAGCCATCAGCTCCTGGGAAAGGGAGAGCGTTTCTCAGACTATGCCACACCACACTCGTTTGTCTACAACCAGATGCCAACCCAAACTGGAGGGTGATTACTTCTTCCCTGTGGTGGGAATTTTTCTGCCCACTTGCCCTGGGCGCTGTGCTTGGAAGGAGGTGGTGATCACACTCAAGGGAACCTGAATGTTATCCTTGGGTCAGGGCAGGCTCAGAGGCATATCTGATCAGCACAATGTGCTACAACTTGACCCATTCAGGCCTTTTCCCAATAATGTGTTAATACATCAATTCTAGCCCAGAGAAAAGAATGCTCTGGGGAGACCACACTGAAGACTTTCAATACTTAAAGGAGGCCTATGAGAAACATGGGGACAAACATTTTAGCAGGGCCTGCAGTGACAGGAGTAAGTAATGGTTTTAAACTAAAAGAGGGGAGATTCAGACTAGATATACGGAAGAAATTTTTTACTATGAGGGTGGTGAAACATTGGCACAGGTTGCCCAGAGGTTGTCAGTAGATGCCCCACCCCTGGAAACATTTGAGATCAAGTTGGACGGGGCTCTGAGCAACCTGATCTGGTTGAAGATGTCCCTGCTCACTGCAGGGGGACTAGATGGACTAGATGTCTTGTAAGGTTACTCCTTGCCCAAACCATTCTGTGATTCTATGATAAGTTACTCCCATCTCAGCAGGCAGGCCAGAGCTTGAGCAAACTAGATTAAAAAACAGCTGAATGCTTATTTTGTTCCTGCCTGGTAGGTGGAGTGAGGACACTTATTTTGCTAAACTATTTGTGAACATTTCTTCTCCTACTAATTATATCAGCATTATGAATGCTTGCTTGCAAATGGTGAAAGAAAAATCCTAGGAGATCTTA